ATTCGCAGCTACTTTATACAGTTGAGGAGTTTTTAGTGTCACCAATTCTGAAATTTGGAGACTGTGATTGCCTTTCGAAGACCATAGAAATAATGCAAGAGTGACCGATTTTCCTCTCTGGATTTTCATTAAATTTTCTTGAAATCAAATTGGTCATTGTTTTTAGCTTTGGTCTCATGTGCATGCTGTTACATAAGGGCTATAATTTTTACTTAGCTGGTCACTGGCAAGCTTCTAAGTCGTTGAATCTTGCTTATTTGAGTTCTTTAGTTGCAGAAAATGGCCCCTAAGCCCTTCCAGTAGATCATAGAAACAAACAAGGCCAACAAATCTCAGAAGATGCAACACCTCTCTTAAAGGAGTAATTTTGAATATTTACTTCCTTCTTATTACAGCTATAATAAGAATCCAACTCTCTATTGTTGACATTTCAAAGGAACGATACAACTAATTCAAAAATACTTCTGGGGATATAATAAAGCATAGTTGAAAATTATTTAAGACCACATTGTTTAAAAGTGTATCTTCTCAGAAAGAAAAGTGGAATGTGTGTATGGGTATGTGTGTGTGCATAAAGAATTAGGAAGGTAAAGGACTCAAGTTGGCAGCATCCACTAATGTAAAAAACCAGCACAAATGACTGGTTCACTTGCCTACATCAAACTCAGATGCTTAGGTAATCTGGGCTTCAGTGAATGCAAGGACAGTGATTGTTGCTCATCAAAGTCCCTTAGAAAATGAAGGGTTCCTAAATGCTGCATAGATCTTCTCTACCATTCAATTACATGAGGAAGCCAGAAGACCTGACTGCTGCCATTTTGAACAGCTGCTGCTAGTAAAGGAAGTACCTGTCAAGGCTGCTTCGGGGGACATTGGCTTGATCTTGAGGGTGTCTGTCTTCCAGCCTATCAATTAAGAAAAGAGCAAGCCGGTTGTGATGTATTAGATAGCTCTGCAATGGATCACTCTGAGACTATCGTATATTGGCAAGAGTTTTTCAAATTGCCAGGAATCCGGAGCTTGCCATGTGACATCCCCAGAAGTCTGCTGGTGTGTGACTGGTTTACTCTGTTAAATGAAACTGCTGAGATGGCTGTCATGAGGTGATTAATAAAGTGCATAAATCTTAACTATGGGGAGAAAAGAAGATGAATTGATGCACGCACATATTGGAAAGGCAATGAAACCAAATTGAAGCTACCAGGATTTGCTAATATATAACAGAAAAACAATAACGTGTTTATTGTTCCCCACTGGCCTTGTTTTGTTGGTCTTATTTTAGAAATGACCAGCGAGACATGCTCTATGTTTTTTTTTTCATTTTTCTAGCATGGAAATTCTGACCAAAAAAAAAAAAAAAAAACATGGAAAAGTAATAATGACGTCATGTGAAAGTGCACCTGGCATTTATTACTTATTATTTACTTTCTCTGTGTCAGTGCTGATTCTGAAAATAAAGGATTGGCTCACCTTCCCTCAAAGCTGTTATTGAATGTTATTTGTAATTGTATATAAAGTTTTGGTGGTTTTCAAAGTAATTAGAACCCTAGAGCAAACAAACACTAAATGGGCTCTTGTGTTAAAAGTTATTTCTTCAAACTAAATAGCCCAGTTTCTATGATAATTATATACTCGCCATTATAAAATTAAAAATCATTTTAAGTGAATAGATGCTTTTTTCTATAAAGTATTTGTTTCTTGCTAATTATTGTGAACTAATTATGGTTTATGGTGCTCTTCAAGAACTCTGAAATCATTGCCTTCGAGCCCTTGGTCTCCAGTGTGTGCAGGCTTCAATTCCAGAGGTGAAACAGTAAGACGAGAAGAGTCCACAGTAATCAAAGGAGAATTTAGGATCAGCTTTCTGGAGACTGTGATTGACATGTGTGCAATTGGGTGTGGGGCTCATCCGAAAGATAACTGTGGGCTGCAAAGATGGCTCGGTGGTTCAGTGCATGGGTTGCTCTTATAGAGAACCCAAGTTCAGTTCCCAGCACCCACATTGGGTAACTTACAACTGCTTGTAATACCAGCCCTAGAGATCTGACCCTCTCTTTTGGCCTCCCGGGCAACTGCACCCATGTGCAAATACCCTCACACAGACATGCATATGTATATATAATTAGAGCTAAAAATAAATTTTTTAAAACAATGTTGTTTTTCCCAAGGCCCTTGCTTTCACTCTGTCTGGACTCTGTGACCTTTGGCCTTTGACTTTCCTGTCTCTGCACCTCCATTCTTCCATTTGTAAAATAGATGTAAAAATACCTCTCAGCATTGTTTTGACTATTATAGGTAATTTCTATAATTATTTAATCTAAAACACTGTTACTATAGTTACAAGCTATTATTATCATCATCAATTATTATCCCTTCCACTGTTAATTTTTATGATAGAAAAATCTTAATTATACCACCATAGCCACCAAATGGGTCATCAAAACAATTCTGAGCATCTTGTGACCATTTTTCCCTGCGGTGGGAAACTCTGTATTGTCAAAAGCACATGATTAAATTAAGTCATAAAAGGGGAAGTTTGGCGTGTCCTTTTTCTAATGTTATAGACTAACATTTGGTTTAGTGTGGGTAAAAAGTATGACAGTTCGGGCCACAAGCACCAGCAGGTTTTTGAGATCCTGCTAGCCCACTAAATCATGACTGTCCATATTGCCAGGCTCTTTGTAGGACAAAAGGAAAACCAGCAGAAGGTAAACTATGATCAAAGAAAATCAAACCATCAAACAATAAGAAGAACCCCTGGTGAGCCACCTCAAGGATGCTCTCTTTCCCCTTGTCTCTCCCTTCTGTATAGCCAAGGGTGCCGTGAGTTATGAGGGTTCGCTGGCAGTGCGCACCAGGCATCCCTGTCAGGAAGCAGTGTGATGAATACCAAGTTCACGGTTCTTCGAACTCCCAGCACTGTCGCTACTGCTGTTATCAATAAACCGTTTCCTTTTGCTCTCTTTAGCTCTTTGCTCCGACTTCTCATTTTTCATTTAGCTGTTGGTTTAAAGTACGGTCTTCCCGCGTCAGTTTCTTGGTTCTGGGTACTAAGGTTGTTGATTG